GTAATATGTGGTATAGATTAACGGTTATCAATGATCTATGGATTAAACATAGATGAAGACAACTATAGATAGCCCACTCCATTGCACAAAATGATAACAAGGTTTTTTACTGACACTGTCGCCATCTATTAGCTGCTTCCAACTCTCTAACGTCATTGCCCCAAAATACCCCCCCTCGCGGGTTATTCTGTGGTCATTGCTGGGTTTGCGTCCTTACTACTGTGTATTCAGGATTTGCTATTGTCGGCGAGCCAATACTGCAATTGAGATTAAAAGATGCTTAATACTCAGTTCGATATATTTGTAATATATCAAATTGAACATAAACATACTCCTAATCTCAATTGAAGTATTTCGGCGTAGCCACAGGTGCTTGAATATGTCAATAAAAGCTCTATAAACATTTACACATTTTTATTGCAGTAAATAAATAGGCGAAACGCCAATTACCATTATATTGTGAAAGGTGTTTGTTATAGAAACCAGAAACATTTGCTCAAGAAGCAAAATCATGTTATGAATCAAAAATTCAGAAATTAAACAAATACCTAATTCAAAGTAACAAAACAAATTCATTAATTTAGTACAATTGCTAATGCAGATACATATTTAGGTATGTGTCTGGACAACATAATTACATATAGGTTTCTCACCTGTTGGCGATGTACCAAATTCTTTACGCCCTAATACAAAATTTTGTTGCTTCTGCTGTGTAACTCCTGCTTTCAAATTAAATCTCCTTACCCCTAAAAAGAAAAAATATGTTACTACATTGAAGAATTATATATTATTAGTAGCATAGTATGTACTTACTCGAAACTGTGTGGCCCTTGCAGAATTTGTACTGGTGACAGCTGTAAAAGGGCTGTCCAGAATATCATCTTTGCACATAAATACAAATTATTAAAGCACTTTCATTTTAATACAAACAGTTTTCGGAGTACACAATTCAGGTGCTGATGCTGTGTGATTTGAGCTGCTCTCACTGGAAAGAGTGTCTTTGGAGCCTAAAAATTGACAGGTTGCTAAATTTACATCTCACTCGCTTACAATTAGTACTTACCCAGAACTGTGGCCATATTTGATGTGCCATGAACATATTCAAGCGATGGTCCAGGAATATCGCACAGTTTGACTATGGGTTGCACCAAGCGTCTTTTGCCAGGAAGCTA